GGCATGAGCCACCACACCCAACTTTAAGTTACATTTTTATTGTTTCCTAGAACTGTTTCTTCAAGAGCCTTTTTTTATTGATCTAGATACAGTTCTTCATTTTCATTGTGTATGGATACATTATTTTGGGTTGAAATGTGGTCTTGTTTAGCATAACGGTTTCCTTTCTTTTTGAGTATGGGGATACTTTTTGATTTCCAAAAATGTAATTAGCCCATTCCACATAAATGGTAGCTGTGTATTTACAGTGGTGACAATTAGAATGAAGGTAGATGTGTGCTTGTTCCTCATTGCTCTGTGCATGTATTTGAGAGAAAGCAGTATATGTAAGGGAGAGACCCTTCCTTTTGTGTACACACTGAACTTGACTCTCTGTGAAGCCTACCGCCTATTTCCATGGCTCCTCTGGGTGGCCAGGCATAAGCTGGACAACAGCCCACTGTCTAATTTTTTTTTTTTTTTTTTTTTTTTTGAGATGGAGTCTTGCTCTGTCACCCAGGCTGGAGTGCAATGGCATGATCTCGGCTCACTGCAGCCTCTGCCTCCCTGGTTCAAGGGATTCTCCTGTCTTAGCCTCCCAAGTAGCTGGGATTACAGGTGCCCGCCACCATGCCTGGCTAATTTTTGTATTGTTTTAGTAGAGACGGAGTTTCACCATGTTGGTCAGGCTGGCTCGAACTCCTGACCTCAGGTGATCCACCCACCTCAGCCTCCCAAAGTGCTGGCATTACAGGCGTGAGCCACCGCACGTGGCCCCCGACTGTCTAATTCTCTGTTGCAGCTGCCAAGTCACTCTCAGAGCCAGTTTTCCTAATATGCAGTTAGCATTCTAAGAGTTAACAGATTTTGTTTTATTTTCCCAAGATCTTTTTAAAAAATTTTCTTAATTATAGGTCTAAGAAAAGCTTATTTTAGAAAAATTCTAAAAGATAAGAAGAAAATCAGCATCTCCTGTTATCTTCTAACCCAAATAGCTTTGCATTTTACATAGCTGGAGTGATAGTGATCAAAATGGTTTTTTAAGAAACTTTCTGTATTGTGAAATTTTATTACAGAAATGATAAATGTAAACACTTCAAGGATCTACTTACGGAAAAGGTCATCTCTCCCATACTTTTGATGCCTACCTTCAGAGAAACCTGCATTAGCAATCTGGCATATGTCCTGCCTCAGGCTCATGAAAATATGAACAAAGAGGGAGGAGTTTCTCTGTTTCGTTTTGTTTTGTTTTGTTTTGTTTTTCTTAAAATGTGATCATTTTATACACATTACCCCTAAACCTGTCTTTTTCACTTAGAAAAATGTCATGGACAGCTCCTGTGGGTCAGTAGATAAACATACTCTCTTTAATAGCTGCTGAGACTTTTACTTCTGAAGTGTAAATTCCCACTGGGTATAGCAGGGCCTAAAACAAAAAGTTCCCTGCCCTTTTAGAGCCTCCATTCTGATGGAGGGAGGCTGACAACATGCAGACAGATGTAGGACACGTCAGAGAGTGATCAGTGCTCTGAAGAGAAAACCATGGAAATTCCAAGGGTAGAAAGCAACGGGTATATAGAGATGAGGAGCGGCCCCAGCCTAGCCAAATTCTAGTGAAGGGGCTTCAGTGCAAAGGCCCTATGGCCAAAGCACATTTGACCTTGGATAAGGAGAGGCCCGGGGGGTTAGGGGCCTGTAGGAATGATGAGGTCACATTTAGCAGTCCTTGGATGGTCCCAGGTGTTTGTCTGATTTGAAGGTTCCATGGGTGATTCTGCTATGCAGACAGGTGTGATGGCAGATGACGAACCACTGGGCTGTGCTGATGGAAATGGCCTGCCTAGAATTACATGGAGAGCTTAGACTGGGATCAGGAAGGTCATGAACATCATGATCTCCTCAGGCTAAAAATTAGGTTCTGTCCAAATCCACCAGTTTTCAAAAGGAATTGGGCATTACAACTATTTGAACAAACTTTTTTTCCTTCAGAACTATTCTAGTGAATGCTGGCTTTTTAAAAAACAGGGATGAGGAACCTAACTCTGAATAAAATTGCATTGATTATAGGACTTGATATCTTAATTTTGGCTGATACATAGTATTTAAACTTCTATTGATGCCTAAAAACTGACGATTTTGCTTTGATTTTTTTGTTCTAGTCTAAAGCATCACAAGGTAGCGACCTTGAACAAAATGAAGGCCTCAAGAAAGAGTAAGAAAAAGAAAGAAAAATCTACATCAAATATGAGTCCTGACAGGTTCAAGAGCCTCCAAGGATTGAAGTCATTTTATATTTCATTACTCAACATTGTGTGATATAATAAGTGGGTGTTTTTCTTAAGAGAAACTTGGGTTCATATTGGGTTTCCTAGGTGAAAATCTCAGGGCTTTTTAATGATCATATTTCTTAGTGTAATAGCAAAGAGTAACCCAGCTCACTCTTCTCACCTTTCATTTTTGGCTTCCCAGTTTTTCTCAGAGCAAAAGCCAACTAGTGAACACTTGAATGAAATTGGATGGTCTGGAGACAAAACCCTGTATCAGAGTTGAATAGTTGTGTGCCATATTACTAATATTTCCCCTCAGTTATTGCTTTAACTGTTTTTGTTTTTTTAGTTTTTTTTTTTTTTTTTCTTGCTTTAGAATCTGCTTTTGCAGGCCTCTTTTCTATCAAAGTTTATTATAAAGTGCTTCATTATAGAGAGAAATGTAGAATACTGTAGAACCATTGAGGGCCCAAGTCAGGAAGATTTCAGGAACTTCCAAAGCATGCTTTAATTGTCTCATGATACTCCAAGTATTTCATATACTCTAAGGAGCCAGTCTGGGTTCTGACTTAATTTCTCATGTGCCTGGTTGTTTTCTTTACATTGCTGTACCAGACTCAGGTGGCCCTGGCTGCTGTGCAGGCCGACAGGCTCTCTCAGAGGTGCTGCCCGGTGCCCAGCTTAGGGTCAAGCCCAGGGCATCCCACAGACTTGGGGTGGGGGTTCCCAAGGCTCTTAGAACATCATTTAAGAATAGCTGGGTTACATGTTTGAAAACCTACCATGGCAGAGCATTATGGTTTAGGCAAGTGAATATTTATATTTCTGCCCATGTTTCCCATCTTTTTCCAAGGCACTAAATATTGACAAAATGACATAGGCATTTTTAAGTGATTAAAAAATTGTTTTTTAGCAGGCCTGTTGCTTTGACTCCACTTATTAGCCTGGGTTCAGCAGAGATAAATGTAATCTACTGAATCTAGATGGTTTTCTCTATGAAAATCCTTTGAAGAACAGGTAGTTGAATACTCTGATGCAAGGTGGTCAAGGTCAGTTTGTAGACCCTTGGTGTACCAAGATCATTGGTGGTACTCTCTTTGTTGGGTCTGGGGGTATTAGAACGGTGGCTTTTAAATTTGCTGTATGTTAAATAAAGCAGAAGCTCTATGTGAGAGTTTTGCAGCTTTTTCTTTTTTTAATCACTTTTAAGAACTTTTTGTGGGACCTTACTGAAGAATGAAATATAAGCAAAGGAAAGGTGCACTTGGTATGTTTGCATTAACAAAGAGCTAAAGGGGTGTGTGGTTTACTTAGGATGCCGAGGAATTTCCCAACCTGGCAGTTGCATCTGAAAGAAGAGACAGAATAGAGACACCGAAATTTCAATCTAACAGCAGCCACAGGTAATTTTTAGTTGAAACCCAGTTGCTTAGGCTTAACTTTTCTGCTCAACTAAGTGCTTGAGAAAACTGCTTCCAGACATCTCTGTATAGAGACAGGTGGTTTTTGTTTGATTCATTCTTCATGAGAGAACTGCACCCAGCATGTGAAATTATTGCTCCTAAATAACTTTTTTTATTTTATAATGACTATTATTTTATAAGATTGTGGTTTTATAATAGATTCAGTACTGTAGTTGCTAGGTCAGAAAGGAGGGGGATCATACTGCCTTACGAAACTTTAAAGGGAAAAAGTTGATTTAGTTTATTGGGGAAACAGAAGAATGTTTTTGCAAGTCAGTAATGTGTGACAGAAGAAAAATAAAGAGAGGCACCACAGTTTTACTCTATGCAGTCAAAACAAGCTAAAGTGGAGGTGATTCTCCTTCCATACTCCACCATCTATCCCACAGATTCATGAGGGAGCTTGTGAGTCATAATTTAGATGGGGAACTTGTGTAGTTGTAGACATTTATTTGCTAGGATATTCATTGTCATTTTGCCTTTTAAAGGGAGACTATTGTTTTCGCATTCATGAAAAATAAAATTCTAAGCCTTTGTGTGAGTTAACTTTCTTTTTTTTTTTTGAGACGGAGTCTCGCTCTGTCGCCCAGGCTGGAGTGCAGTGGCCGGATCTCAGCTCACTGCAAGCTCCGCCTCCCGGGTTTACGCCATTCTCCTGCCTCAGCCTCCCGAGTAGCTGGGACTACAGGCACCCGCCAACTCACCCGGCTAGTTTTTTGTATTTTTTAGTAGAGACGGGGTTTCACGTGTAGCCAGGATGTCTCGATCTCCTGACTCGTGATCCACCGTCTCGGCCTCCCAAAGTGCTAATTTGCTCATCTTCCTTCCATGCAGTAGGCCTCCTTGCCTGTCCTTTGTTGCACTTGGTACTTTCCCCTGATGGGAGCCCTCAGCCAGTAGGGTTTTTGGTGTCTGGGAAGAGAACACTTGGCAGGAGAGCAAAGCAGAGGCACTAAAGCAAATGGGACACCATGCCTTAGACGTATCACTGGGCTTCCTTGTACACTTTTTATATAGTCTCAAAACCCAAATCACAACAGTTTCAAAAATAACACTTGTTTAAGCATATCAGACTTTGAGCCTGCATTTAATATTATTTGCTGAGTATGATTTGGGCTTATGTAGACTTTGTATCACTATAATTTCATGCCATTTTGTTGGTTTACAGAGGCTTTGGAGAGAGAATGGGCTAATGAGGCAATAGTACTAACCAAGTAGCCTCACACACAGACTTTGTAGCCAAAGACTTTATACAAGTGCTAGTGTCTTGTCTGTAGATGTGTATTGTTGACTACTCACAGTGGAGATACAGATATAGACAGTCATGTAGGTGATTTAATATAAACCCAATGTTCTAAAAGAAGGAAGACATAACAACCATGGTAATACTGGCAATAATGTGGGATTGATTGTTTTTCCTTTCATTACTTGAATTTTTGAAAATTCTTGTTTATAGTCTCTATTTCATTTTATCTTTACATCAGTTTTTTGTAAAATGAAAAGCACAGTTTGTATAGTTTTATAAATAAACTTACGAATTTTGAACTTTCAGGATAACTTTAGAAACAATGTAAAGAAGAGCCAGCTTCCAGTGCAGCTGGATTTGGGGGCATGCTGACAGCCCTGGAGAAGAAGCAGCACTCTCAGCATGCAAAGCAGTCCTCCAGACCAGTGGTAGTCTCAGGTAAGATAGTCTTTCCATCTCAGACAAGTGGTTGAAGTCTTTTTCAGCTAGGTTATTGTGTTAACATTTTCTCTTGTTATCAAAAGTTATTTATAGATAAAACAGTGTGATGCTGAATAAGCATAGATATGGAACTATGGAATAGAATTAAAGAGTCCAGAAATAATTCGTGTATCTGCAACCATTGATTTTCATGAGTATGCCAACTCCATGAAAAGAACAAAGAACAGTGTCTTTAAAATGGTACTAGAACATCTGGATTTCCACATGCTGAAGAATAATCATGCCTCTTACCTCACACCATAGATCCAAATGAACTCAGAACGGATCAGTGAGCTAAATATAAGACTAAAACTATAAAACTCTTAAAAGAAAACGGGTAAATGTTTATGACCTTTTATTAGACATTGGATTTTTAGATACGGCACCAAAAAGACGAGCAACAAAAGAAAAATAAACTTTGGACTTCATTAAAATTAAAAATTTTTGCATACCAAAGGACATTATCAAGAAAGTGAAAAGACAACTTACAGAATGGGAGAAAATATTTTCAGATCATATATCTGATAGGTGATTAATATTCAAGTATTTAGGAACTCCAGCTGTATAGCAAACAATCCAATTTAAAAATGGGCAAAGGAGTGAGCTGCGATCGCGCCACCACACTCCAGCCAGGGTGACAGAGCGAGACTCCGTCTCAAAAAAAACAACAACAGCAATAAAAAAAAAAAAAAAAAAAAAAAACGGGCAAAGAACTGGAAAAGGCATTTCTCCAAAAAAGGTACACAAGTGGTCAATAAGTGCATGAAAAGATCCTCAACATCATTAGTCATCAGGGAAATACATATTAATCAAAAGTACAGTGAAATACTACTTCCCACCTAATGGGATGATTATAATCCAAAAACAGAAAATAGCAAGTGTCGGTGAAGATGTGGAAACATTGGAACCCCGTACACTGACGGGGGAATGTAAAATGGTGCAGCCACTGTGAAAGACAATCTGGTGGCTTCTTAAATGCTCAATGCAGTTACTACATGACTCAGCGATTTCACTCCTCAGTGTTTACCCAAAAGGAAATAGTTTTAGACACTTTTACGCTGGGGTTTGTTATGGCATTATTCACAATAACCAAAAGGTAGAAACAGTGCAAATGTTCATTACCACATGACGGTGTAAACAAATGTGGTATACCTACGCAATGTAATATGCAACCTTAAAAAGAATGAATTCCTATACATGATACAACATGAATGAAACCTGAAACATTATACCATATAAAATTAGCCAGACACAGAAACACAACTACTTTGTGATTCCACTTAAAAGAAATATGTGGAATAGGCAAATTCATAACAGCATAGATTAGAGGATACCTGGGGCTGAGGGGAAAAGGAATGGTGAGTCATTATTAACGGGAACAGAGTATTCATTGGAGCATGAAAAAGTCTTGAAAATGGATAATAGTGATGGTTGCACAACATTGTGAATCTAATTTATGCCACTGAATTGTGCACTTAAAACAGTTAAAATGGTACATTTTATGTCATATATTACCACAGTTAAAACATTTTTAAGTTATTAAAATAAGATGATTTTTAAAAATTGATCAGTTTAAAAGATGAGCTTTCCACTTGATGTGATGACATTGTATAGCTGAAACCTCCTTATCTGTAGAAGTGCCCTGAGTTCCTGAAGATCTTTACCATCTGGAGAAGGAAGCTGCATTCCATGGAAATGGTTTACTGCCTGTGCATGGGGCACCACTGGGAACGGTGTCAAGTAGTGCTGATGGCTGCCTCTTCCTCTGACACATCTTCTCTAAGAGCCAAGACAGTTAAAATGCACAATATGTCAAAAAGCAACTTGAAAATTTTCAACCATAGGCTTTTAGATATGTTTTTTCCTTTTGAAGTTGTTTATTTCAAAAAACACTCCTTTTTTTTTTTTTTTTTTTTTTTTTTTTTTTATCTGTGGATCTTCCTTTTTTTAAAACTTTTATTTTAGGTTCAGGGGTACACATGCAGGTTTGTTATATAGGTAAACTTGTGTCATGGGGATTTGTTGTACAGATTATTTTATCACTCAGGTACTAAGCCTAGTAACCAATAGTTATTTTTTCTGATCTTTTCCTTCCTCCCACCCTCAAGTAGGCCACAGTGTCTGTTGTTCCCCCATGTGTCCATGTGTTCTCATTTAGCTCCCACTTGTAAGTGAGAACATGTGGTATTTGGTTTTCTGTTCCTGCATTGGTTTGCTAAGGATGATGGCCTCCAGCTCCATCCATGTTCCTACAAAGGATATGATCTCATTCTCTTTTATGACTGCATAGTATTCCATGGTGTATATGTACGACATTTTCTTTATCCAGTTTACCATTGCTGGGCATTTAGGTTGATTTCATGTCTCTGCTATTGTGAATAGTATTGCAGTGAACATTCACGTGCATGTGTCTTTATAGTAGAATGATTATATTCCTTTGGGTATATACCCAGTAATGGGATTGCTGGGTCAAATGATATTTCTGTTTTTAGATCTGAGGAATCACCACACTGCTTTCCACAGCGGTTGAAGTAATTTACACTCCCAGCAACAGTGTATAAGTGTTTCTTTTTCTCCGCAACCTTGCCAGCATGTTATAGCCATTCGGACTGATGTGAGATGGTATCTCATTGTGGTTTTGATTTGCATTTCTCTAATGATTCAGTGATGTTGAGCTTTATCTCATATGCTTGTTGGCCACGTGTATGTCTCTTGAAAAGTGTCTGTTCATGTCCTTGCCCACTTTTTAATGGGGTTGTTTTTTTCTTGTAAATTTGTTTAAGTTCCTTATAGATGTTGGATATTAGACCTTTGTCAGATGGATAGATTGCAAAAATTTCTCCCATTCTGTAGGTTGTCTGTTCACTCTGATGATAGTTGTTTTACAATGCAGAAGCTCTTTAGTTTAATTAGATCCCTTTTGTCAACTTTTGCTTTAGTTGCAATTGCTTTTGATGTCTTTGTCATGAAATCTTTGCCAGTTCCTGTGTCCAGAATGGTATTGCCTGGGTTGTCTTTCAGTGTTTTTATAGTTCCGGCTTTTACATTTGAGTCTTAAATCCATCTTGAGTTGATTTTTGTATACAGTGTAAGAAAGGGATCCAGTTTCAATTTTCTGCATATGGCTAGCCAGTTATCCCAGCACCGTCTATTGAATAGGTAGTCCTTTCCCCATTGCTTGTTTTTGCCAACTTGTCATTTGTTCCTCGCTTCCTCCTTTACTGCCTTTGGTGTTAAATGTTTTTAGAGTACACTTTTGATTTCTTTGTTGATCTTTTTTAACTTTAGTTTGAAAAACTACTTTCTTAGTGATTGCTATAGGGATTACAATATACATGTTAGTTTATATACTGGAGAAACTTTACTCCAATATGTCTCCATTTTCTTCCTCCCCCTTTATGCTATTGGCATATGGTACATCTAAATAGATTATAAACCAAACACTACAGTGTTGGAACTACTACTTTATACAGCCATATCTTTTAAAGAAGAGAAGGAATAAGGAAAAAAATGTGTATTTCCAAGTTTCATATTTATGATTTTAGGTGTTCTTTATTCCTCTGGATTCAGTTGCCATCTTGTATCCCTTCTGGTAGTATTTCTTCTGGAGGACTTCTTTTAGTATTAGTGACACAAGCCATACTAGCAACAAATTCTCACAGTCTTTGTTTGTCTAGGAATGTCTTTATTTTGCATTCAGTTTTTGGAGGTTAGTTTTGCTGGATGTAGAATTCTTGGTTGACCACCCCATAGCTCATCCCTATAGCGAGTCTTCCCCTGGACTCCGTGTAAAGTCCCTGCTGGCCTGGCCATGTCTGTTGCTTGCCTATACAAAACGGCAGCCTCAGACTGGCCATGCTGCCTTGCCTTCCCCATTTGCTGAAATCACTAATTTAAATGATCACACTCAATTCAGCAAGCCGTTTATGGCACTGACAGGGAAGCTGCTGGTTTTCATAGCCTTGGCACCTGCTGAATGAGCCAAAGCAGAGCAGGGAGAGACTGGGAAATGCCTCAGACAGGAATGTCCAGACTCATACTGTTCTCACCTGAAGGCTAGTCATCTAAGGAGTAAATACTCTTTGGTTTGTTGGAACCTTTTGGTCACTTTCCAGAGGACTGATATGATTGTGTTTGGCAGTTCTGTTGAACTTCGTGGTTGTTTTTGTGGGAGGGAATGGTTGATCTTCTTCTGTTGTAGGAAGGACCCTCCTCAGGCCTATTGTCAGTGCTTTGTGAAGAATTGCCTGGCAGTGGGGTGCAGGAGGTATGTGTAGAGCTAGAGAGCTTGTGGCAGGTTTTTCAGGAGCCCAAGTGAGATGCTGAACTTGGTGTCATTGGGGACTGGGTGAGTGAGCACCTTTGAGCCATACAGGGTTTTCCAAGAAGAGCTGAGAAAAAGAATTGAGCCAGTCACATAGTCACATGTATGTTTCAAACACCATGTGGAAACAAGGCTCCAAAGATGCAAGCAGCTGTGGTCACTAAGGCCAGAGCAGCCTGGGAGGCAGGTACAGTTGTCTTGGTTGACCTGTGCAGGTTACGTTCTGTGTTGCAGCAGTGAATCAGACAGGCGAGACTTACTGGGACTGCCTAATTGACGAGCACCAATTATTTTAAAAACGTGTTCCAAAATTAAAGGAGGGCAGGTAAAATACATTTGGAAAAATACTGATGATTGTTGAAAGTGGACATTGGGCACAGGGGTTTGTTTACCATTCTTTTTTCTTTGGCGTATGTTTGGAAATTTTCCAGATCAAAAAGTGAGGATAAAACTATATAGGAATTAACTGTTTACTTGAAATAATTATTGAGATGGGAAATAGAACAGAAAAGGAGAATAAAATTGAACTGTTCAGTAGTAATCACAATAATTTATTGACTATATAGAGGGATTACCAACTGCCCATGATGGGATTTCAGAAAACATGTCTGGAAAACTCAAGAGAATTAACTAGAAATATTACTAGAATCTTATAGTGGCCTTATAAGGTAGCTAGATACAAGATACACATACAGAAACCAATAGGGCCAGCTTCCACAAAGGCAGTGTCAACTAGAAAAGGTGGTGGAGAGGGACGTGTTCACAGTAGCAACAGTGAGTGCAGACCACCTAGAACTGTCCTGAGTCAAAAAATGAGATCCATGTAGTATGAGACTGTACTGAGAAATATGGGAGATCTGATTACATGGATAGGAAGGTAGGTGTTCCTGAATTACTTGATACTTTTTGGGAATCTCATCCAAAAGACACTAAATTTCATTTGGAATTATTGCCAATGAAAAGAATGTGTAAGAGATTGACAAAGAAGGGTTGTGGGGACAGGCTGGGGGTGACTTGGCAAGCTCTGTCAGATACCCTGAGGCAGCTTCTGGGCGAGCTGTGGTCCAACAGCTGAGTGGAGCGTCTGGGAGGTGACCTTGAGGCCTTTGTTCCACTGTGTTTCAGTTGGAGCAGTGCCAGTCCTTTCCAAAGAATGTACGTCAGGGGAGAGAGGCCGCCGCGTGAGTCAAATGAAGACCCCACACAATCCCTTGGACTCCAGCGCCCCGCTGATGAAGAAAGGAAAGCAGAGGGAGATCCCCAAGGCCAAGAAGCCAACCTCACTGAAGAAGGTGTGTGGGGTGTTTCAGCCAAAGCGAGGCGCTAAAAAACTTAGTATCACATTTCCATAGTTATTCTCCCAGCTCTTAGATGTGTAGATTTTACGACTTACATTATTTGAATATGTTGTAGTAAAACATGTTAATGATACTTTTAACAAATGATCCCTCAGCCTCCCAGCCTGACACGTGAGGGACATGTGATGTGGGAAATGATGTAGCTACCTGAAAAGAAAGGAACATCTTTTATTTTTTTAACTTTACAGTGGATGGATAGAAAACCAGAAATGGGAGGAGTTGCATTTTTCTTCTTCTTCTGATTCCCTTTCATCCTACCCTAGCTGATCTGTCTGATGTTCAGAGTCAGTAAATAATGCACACTTCCTTGCAGACCTTCCAGGAGGACAGTCACAGGCTCCTCCGGTTAATTCCTTTTTTTTTTTTTTTTTTTTTTTTTTTTTGAGATGGAGTTTTGCTCTTGTCACCCAGGCTGGAGTGCAGTGATGGAGCGATCTCAGCTCACTGCAACCTCCACCTTCCGGGTTCAAGCAACTCTCCTGCCTCAGCCTCCCGAGTAGCTGGGATTACAGGTGCGTGCTATCATGCCTGACTAATTCGTGTATTTTTAGTAGAGATGAGGTCTCACCATGTTGACCAGGCTAGTCTCAAAACTCCTGACCTCAGGTGATCCACCTGCCTTGGCCTCCCAAAGTGCTGGGATTACAGGCATGAGCCATCTCGCCCAGCCTCCCTCCAGTGAATTCTCACAGCAGCCCTGTGGTGTGGGTGCTCAGGCGAGTGCTGAGCTGCAGAATTGTCTTCAGAGCTCAGGGCTCCCCTGTGTGGCTGCTCTGCATACCTCGGGAGGAACATGCCACTCCAAAACCAGCAGGGAGGGTTGGGTCAGCTCCCTGGAGACTGGCGAGCACTTGGCTGCTCTCAGGGCACAAATAGGTACATTGCCAACAGGTTGAACTTAGGCAGTTTAATTTGCAGAAGAGCTTATCTTTTAAGTACAAGTATTTAGGCATTTTAATTGTTTATTTAAATTTTTAAGATTATTTTGAAAGAACGGCAAGAGAGAAAGCAGCAGCGTCTCCAAGAAAATGCTGTGAGTCCAGCTTTTACCAGTGATGACACACAAGATGGAGAGAGTGGTGGTGATGACCAGGTTCCTGAGCAGGCAGAGCCCTCAGGTACCAACTTTTGTTTGTGCCTTAAGAATAATTTAAACAGGAGCAACTATGAAAAGGATGAGCTGTGCTGAGCAAACTCTCCAGGACTTGGCTGACGACTCTTGCTTTTGTGGGGAAAGTGCGTCAGCACTGAGCTTCCAGTTTTACAGGGAAGGGAGGTCCCCATGGTTGGGGGCGTGTTTCTAGTCCCTCTGGTTCTGGGATCTGTGAGGCACAGAGGTGAGGATCCTCCCTTCCCACCAAGTTTGATCTGTGTGATGCTGGATGGTCCTCTAACTTGAAGTGGTCATGAGAATTAACACCGCTAGCTGCACAGCTGCTTACCAGCAGGTATAGGAGACGTAGGGGCATGAACACAATTGTGTGTTTTTAAGTAAACTTCTTACTCAGTTATACGTTCAGAAAAGTGCACAAATCATCAGTGTACAGCTTGAGGACTTTTCACAGTGACCACCGCATTCAGATCAAGAAGCAAAACGGGGCCCAGCAATTGCCTGTGCCCTCTTGTCAGAGGCCTCCCTAGGAGACCGTGCCCCATGGCAGCCCCACCAAGGGCTGTCGATGTGGCTCTGGTGCAGCTGTGTGGTGTGCTGCTCTCTTTGTCCCCTCTCCTTCAGTCTTATTGGCAACATGGAGATGTTTATTTTCATTACTGTGTAAAATTCAGTTGGACTAATGTACAGGGTTGCGGATGGGCATTCAGTCATTTTCCAGTTTGGGTAATTAGAAACAGGGTTGCTGTGGACAGTGTTGTATGTGTCTTAAAGGACACAAGCACTCATTCCCGTGGGGCATTACCTGGGAGTAGAGTTACTTGAGTAGCTCCTGTCCAGTGGGTTTCTGACTGTTCTACCAGTTAAGGCCAGGGGAGGCTGAGAGTTGCAGGTGCTCCCCATCTCCACCAGCCCACAGGGCACTATCTTTTTCAACCTTGCCATTCTTGTGGGTGTGGTGTATGTGTTTTCATTCCTTCATTTGGTGATCTGTGGCTGCAATTGCATTTTGATAGTCAGTAGAAGTAACTAGTTGGGGACAGTAGGCTATCACTGCATCAGATCTGGTATGTTTAAACACACACCTCTTGAGTTTGTCAAAGTTTAGATGTTGGAGTTCAGCTCTTTCTAAAGGATTATTTCAAAAAGAAATGGCCTCAAGCATTTGAGAAAAAACTTAAAACTAAAAGCCCGTTTTTTAAAACTCCCTGATAAGAGATTCTTCAGGTTAAATTTCAAAATCAAAAAATAAATTTGGCCACTTAACTGCACACTTAAAAGTGGTTAGAATGGTAACATTAATGTATATTTTACCCTAATAAAAGTGAATGTGTAAGTAAATTGGGGAGAGGCACACCTCCAGGCATGACTGCCTCCACCAGCTTTTCTGGTTTCCCCAGGCATCCTCGTCTGTTTTTGCTGCCTTCTGTAAACCTCTCTGCATGTTGTCTGTGGATGTGGTGGTTGTGTGCAGGGACGGTCTGGTTGCATCGGTGAGACTGTATTGGGCCAGCCCCTCAGTGTGTGCACTGGGCCTCACAGATGTCTTATGATGACTTTTTCCTCCATGAAGGGCCAGAGGGGATGGACGAACCGATCTCCACTCCTGCGATTGAGGGCAAGTCTGAAGAGCCACCAGGCACAGAACTCCAGAGGGACACAGAGGCCTCCCACCTTGCTCCCAATCACGCCACCTTCCCTAAGATCCACAGCCGCAGATTCAGGGAGTGAGTGAGCCCCTGCCTGCCAGGGACTAGGGGAAGATGGAAGTGCTTCGGTTCAGTGTGGCATTGATACCTCCCATAAATCCTTGTTGCTGGACCTCACTGTGCTTTAACCCTCATGGTTGAAAGAAGCCGGGTACCTCGTTGCACACATTCAGGGAGAGCCTAATCGTTGTGTCTGATTCTGCTTCTACTGAGTTTCTTGGGGTGTTAATGATGGAAGAGGGGCCCTCAGTCCAGGTTTGAAGTCGGGGGAATGGATAGTGAAGTGACCACGCATCATCTTTGGGCCCCTTTTCATGGTTTAATCTCTGTATAATTTCTTAGGCGGCAGGATTCCTTTAACCTTGTGTGCTCACTCTGCCTTCTCCCCTGCCCACTTTTCTTCCAGGGTAGTCTCCCAGTATTTATCTTTATGACAGGTTGATGCACAGGGTAGTGGCTGAGATGGGGACCTGTGGCAAACTATGGTGGGGGGTCAGGGAGCAGAGAAATTTGTCCCTTGTAGTTGGGAATGGGGGGAAGATGCCCCAGTATTTACCTTCCATGAAATTAAATTGTCAGTAATTCCACAGTGCTGGTTAGTAGTACTTGTCGAAACGTGACTTCTTGTCTGATGCAGTCTACGTCTCTTCTCCTTGGGGTGGGATGGGAGCAGTGCGGCAGTGTCACAGCCAGTGGCACAATTCCTGATGTCTGTTTCTTTCAGTTACTGCAGCCAGATGCTTAGTAAAGAAGTGGATGCTTGTGTTACCGACCTACTCAAAGAACTGGTCCGTTTCCAAGACCGTATGTACCAGAAAGATCCAGTCAAGGCCAAGACTAAACGTCGACTTGTGTTGGGGTTGAGGGAAGTTCTCAAACACCTGAAGCTCAAAAAACTGAAATGTGTCATTATTTCTCCCAACTGTGAAAAGATACAGTCAAAAGGTAAAGGCACCGTGGGGTCCTGTGACATGTGGGCCCCTGTGTGAGTGCCTGGTGCGCCCTCACGGTCGCCGCACACCTGGGTGGCCCATGCCACAGGCCTAGACAACTCGTTTTCTTTGTGGTTTTTGTTTTTATTGAGTAACTGTTTCCCAACTGCATTGACCCTTACTAAGTACCTCTGTAGGGCAGGTGGGTCCTGTGGTCCTGCACACGAGGGGGCCACCCAGCCCACACAGGCCTCTGGCATCAGGGAAAGACATGCCTCTGTTGTGCAGGCCACTACCCTGGGGCTGGGATTGTCACTGGTGACTTGCACCACAGAGATGCTGTGCCTGGCAGCCAGGCAGTACCTACCTAGGGCTTTCGTGTACTTGACATTTAGTTGTTCAGTCTGGGGTTGACTCATCCGTTTGCTTGTTACAGATGTGGCTTTGTCTAAATACTTTGCCATTTTACTTAAACTGGAATGTGTGTTTTGTTTTGTTGGATGTGATATGCTGGGTCAGGTAACAGTGAACCCTCACCTGTGACATCGCATGTTTACCCCCTGCTTGTGCTCTCTTGGCTCCTGGAGGACTTGCCTGTCTGTGTTGTGTCCTTCTTGAATTGAGCAATAGGAGAACTGATAAGAGCAGAGTGGCATCGCTCATGGACGCCTGTCCTTCATCTCCGTCTAGGCTAGGGAACACTCACAAGCCCCTCCCTGACCCCATTCCTTTCTCCTGCAGTGTCAAATTCAGCTTTATAGAGTCCCACTTTGAGATAATGCATCCACATCCTGGGGCTGAACCCTCAGAGATGATGTTTTCCAGTTACCATTTCATATCTAAAGCCTGGAAGTTTTGTGACGTCTGAGGCCCCTAGCCAGCAGCTCGTCCCTGTCCTAACTCAGTATGGGTCCAGCATCACCAGTGACCAGAATATGACAGAAGGGATCTCAGTGACCCACCCATCTGATTGTGTGCCCAGAGGCCTTTCCTCATTGGAGAGGACAGGCCACATGCTTCCCTGGCTGTTTTTGTCAATGTTGTACATGTCCACAGCTAAAGGTTCAAGTAGTCCTATAGGGTTTTTAAGGGAGAGGCAGGTTTGGGCTCTCTCCCTTTCCTAGCAACTGCACCTATCAGCTTTTAGCCACATTGTGGGATATTTCCTCCATGTCTCCATATAACAGGCTTGTGAGCTACGGCTTCACATGTTTTCAGTTTTAAGTATTTGTCATCTTCCCAATAGAGCAAAAAGGCTTTGCTGTTACTTACCCTAATGTATAGTTTGGGTTATTGTTCTTGTTTTGTGGTGGTTGCTTAATTGTCTATATACTTAGTATTAATGAAACCTCATGCCCTCAGCCAGCTGCCTCCGTCTCCTCTGAGACAGTTGGTTACACCAGGCATTCTGCAGTTCATCTGCTGAAGAAACCTTCATTCCCAGCTCGCTACACCTCATGCAGTTGCCACCCAGGGATACCCTTGGCTCCCACCCTGCTCTTGATAAGGTGTTGTTTATGGACTTCTTCTTGGGCTGCACTCTTGTTTTGTTAGAGTGCATCCTCCAGTGGTTTAGGAGAAAAGGATTCATGGGAGGCATATTTTGAAGCTCTTGCTTGAAATCTGGAGTCTCTGATTCTTGATCCTTTGTGATCATTTTGCACCCCCCGCTCTCTGGAGGTTCACTGGAAGTGCCTTGTTCCTGGGGTTATAGGATGTGAGACAGCTTGCATCCAGTGTCTTTGGCTCTGGGACATGTTGAATTTTTGCTTTGAATCCTCTCTTCCAGTCCCTGCCAGCTCTTCTTGGAACTATGTCAGGGTTGGGACTCCTGGACTGGTGTCCTCACATTATTTGTTTCCTGCTTCTTTTCATCTCTTTCTTTTGGTTTCATTTTCTGTTAGGATTTCTCAACCATATCTTGTAAACTTTCTGTATAATTTTTAGTCTGATATTATTTTTATTTTTTGGGAGCTGTTTTTGTCCTCTGAAGATTCCTTTTTTTAATCACATTGCTGCTGCCTCATGGTCGCCTCTCTGGGAATTTTAATGATGTCGAGTTCCTCTCCCTCCAGTGCCTCTGTTTCCTCCAAGTAATTCAGTCTGTTTGTTTTGACCTCTCATGGTGGAGGTTTTCCAGATGTCCTCTGTGTCCTGGTTTTCTGCGCCTAGTTAAGAGCCACTAAATAGCCGACTAGAAATCCGGGTGTGTGGCTGGTGTTCAAGGCTGTGAGCAGTATTGAGGGTGATGATTCTCAAAACTGTAGCCAGCATCAGAATCACCCAGAGAGCTGGGGGAAACACAGATTCCAGAGTTTCTGCTTCAAGAGGTCCAGTGGGCCCAAGAATTTGTACTTCCTGCAAGTTCCCAAGTGCTGCTTCTGTTTCTCCAAGGAGTGCACTGAGAACTTCTGCTGTAGGATGATGTGGTTGGGCTGCTCCCATGTTGGAAGTGCCCCCAGGTGTGTCTGTCTCCCCTAGGGCTGGTCACATCCCCAAGGAAGACTTCTCACTGCCTACCTGGAGGGACAGGTGAACTTCACCCTGTGAACTCATCCTCTCACCACCATTAGATGTGTGATTCGTCATGTCCTGCATACCTGTGCTGTGCCTCACCAGAGGGCTGCAGCTGAGGGACTGGACACCGACTTGCCTCTTTGCGAGTGTTCAACCAGCCCTCTTCACCTGTGCCTCACCCTGTGCTGCCTGTTCCCAACCTTTGGGGGATTCTGGGGTCCAGGCTGTTCTAGGCTTTTCTCACTGTTGGCTTAGGTTGGCTAGCCTAGTTGCCCATTTGCATTTCAGCTTCTGAAACTTTTTGCTGTTGTCTCTCACGTTCTCCCGTGGATTTGTGTCTTTAAAAAACAAAAAGGTGGAAATGTATGTACTCAGCCTACAGTCACCCCACTTTCTTGGAAGACGTCATTCCCCTTCTCTGCCTTTGCCAGATCATGGGGCTAGGTTTTTACTTGGTCAGCATCATAAGGATTTGTTGTGTACTTAAAATGCATTCGTTTTGTGGTTCCAACACGTGTTTGCTTTGAGGCATAAGGGACTTGATTGTATATTTTATAAATATTTGCCAGATAAGATAGCCAATGGCTTGCAATCATCTTAAAGATAAAAATTGATGTTATAGCCTTGAATTACGTTGAAGTACTGTATTTGCTCTGAGTGGCATTTTGCCTAATAATTCTGAACTTAAACTTTGAAATGGAAATTATCTGAGCCAAGCATCTTGCTTGACATAGGCTTTCTTGTGGAACTTCAGTAGTTGGCCCTTGCCACGCGTGCTTTCAGCTGACTAATAACAGGTTGGAGGTTGTTTGAGCAAAACAGTCTGGACTTTGCTGCTTGCATTGGGTGTTCCCAAGGCTACCACCAGGCTCAGTGATGTGCCAGGAGGACTCACACGACTCAACATAGAGTGGTACTTTCAGCTGTGACTTACTACAGTGAAAAGGCACAAAGCAAAAGCAGCAAAGAGGCACATGGGGTTAAGTGTGGGTGAAACCAGGCTCCAGCTTCCAAAAGTCACTTTCAGTGACATCACATAGGAGACTGTTACTATCCCAGAAACGAGTTAAGAGCCCGTGGGAAGTGTTGTATACCAGGGATGTACATTAGAGACTCAGTGCCTAGGGTTCTGTTGGGGACCAGTCACACAGGCATCCTCTGCGTAGCACATACAAAGTTCCGGACTCCAGAAGGAAAGCAGAACCACGGTGTTTGCACACCATGGAGACGCAGTGAGTTACTCTTACCAGTTAGGGTGGTGGGAACCCTCCCAAAATCCAAGTTCACAGACCACAGCCAAGGGCCAACCTGGCAGGCAGTCTTGAGAGGATAGTAGCCAGGCGTGCTCTGTTAGGGTGTCTCTGCACACTGCTCAAATAAATTTTCAGATCCACTCCCAGGAGCTGGGGCGGACACCAGGCAGAGACCCTCCAGTGGAGACATGCGTCTCATGTTAGGGGGACTTCATATGTCTTCCCTGACAAACTGAATATAGATTTCACTGTAAGTATATCTCAGGAACACAAAACACTCCACCCCACCTCTGCCCCATCTCCCCTTTTCCCAGCCCATCCAGAACTGGTCTGTTTCTTCAAAGTTTCTGTCCCAGGCAGCTGCCTCCTCATCACTTTGCAAATGCTTTGGGTAGATCAGGGGCAGGGGGTGGGCAGAATAAGGGCTGTGGGCTTAGAAATTAATCTCCCATCCAACTAGATGCAGAATGAGTTCCCAGTTTCCACAGTATGGTAGGACATGCATTGGAGAAGTTTCTATGTTGAAATGAGAGGATCGATATGTAATTAGGTTCCAGGTGATACTATGCTAATTGTAAACAGTTGTTGTTTCTTACAGTTGCTCTGTAAGGACTGGGTGAGTATCCTGTAGGCCAGGTGCCTGGCCTACAATGCTGTGTGCATTGGTAACTCGAAGGCATATGCTGTGTCTTCCTCCAGAGACCACTGTATTCTCTCCCAGGGCGGTATGGGCATCCTCTCCAGGAGTTTTTATTAGCAGTTTTCTTATGAGGGAGGGTCAGCATCAGGAGCTTGACATTTTCTGTGAATTGTTCTTATTTGTTGCCCATTTGCTTTTGGGATGTTGACCTCTTTAGATTGATTCATACCTTTTTTAAAGTTAGCCCTTTGGGTAAGAGTTGCAAGTGTTTTTCTGGTTTGTCAGTTTTGCCACACACACACACACAAAAGTGGCCATGCAGAGACTTTAGGTGTTATATATTTTGGTATTGAACTTTTTAATTGCATCTAGGTATTGTGTTATTTCTCAGCCTTCCCACTCCAGTGTTTAAAAGGTTTGCTTTTAAAAATCTGTATGTCTCCTGGTTCCTTCATTTGTATATGTTTAGGTAGGATTTATTGTGGTCTGAGATGAACAGGATGGGCCCACCCAGTCCTCTAGCATCTTCTCCCTGACTTACCCGAAATGCTGTTCCCATTAAACTCCGGTTGTTTCTGGCGTCCATTCTGTTCATCTGCATCACCTTGTTTATACTATGGTACCTTTATAGTAAACTTTAATACCTGACCATGTTAGCCTGACATCTTTTTATATTTTTTCCGTATTTTTTATTTCTCAATGAAATCCTGTCTATAGGCCGGGCGCAGTGGCTCAAGCCTGTAATCCCAGTGCTTTGGGAGGCCGAGATGGGCGGATCACGAGGTCAGGAGATCGAGACCATCCTGGCTAACACAGTGAAACCCCGTCTCTACTAAAAAAATACAAAAAACTAGCCAGGCGAGGCAGCGGGCGCCTGTAGTCCCAGCTACGCGGGAGGCTGAGGCAGGAGAATGGCGTGAACCCGGGAGGCGGAGCTTGCAGTGAGCTGAGATCCGGCCACTGCACTCCAGCCTGGGCAACAGAGCGAGACTCCGTCTCAAAAAAAAAAAAAAAAAAGAAATCCTGTCTATAGTAACTTACAGTGTTTTAAAGCAGGGGTCCCCAACACCTGGGCTGTGGACCAGTATTGTCTGGGGCCTGTTAGGAAGTGGGCAGCACAGCAGGAGGTGAGCATTACTGCCTGAGCTCTGCCTTCTGTCAGAGCAGCAGCAGCATTGGATTCTCATAGAAGCACAAACTCTGTTGTAAACTGCGCATGTGAGGGATCTAGGTTGCGTGCTCCTTATGAGAATCTAATGCCTGATGATCTGAGGTGGAACAGTTTCATCCCAAAACCATCTTCCCCTGTCCCTGGAAAAATTGTCTTCCACGAAACCAGTCCCTGGTGCCAAAAAGGTTGGGGACCACTGTCTTAAAGTATTAGATTAATGTGGAGTTGACATTTCATCATTTTGGATCATTCTATCCAGGATCATAGGTGCCTTTTCATTTGTTGAGATTTTCTGTTGCGGGGGTGGTTTAAGAGACAGGGTCTCACTCTGTTGCCCAGGCTGGAGTGCAGTGGCATGATCATGGCTCATTACAGCCTTGAACTCCTGGGCTCAAGTTACTGAGCTTGCCTCAGCTTCCTGAGTAGGTGGACTATAGGCACATACCACCACATTGGGCACTTTTTTTTTTTTTTTTTTTAGAGATGGGATCTTACTATGTTGCCCAGGCCAGTATTGTGTTAATAGCGTGTTGAAGTTGCCTGTAAATCTTCTCATGTTTCTTGAAAAATTCATTCCTACTGACTATAATCTTGTGCTGCTGTTGTAAATGGAGTCATCTCTTTGATATATGCCAGCTGGCTGCTGAGTTGAGTGTGTATAGAGACTTGTGCCACACCCGCTTCTGTACTTCTCTGCTGTTAGGAGTACTTCTCAGGTGCTGTTGGGTTTTCCAGGTGCATCACTTGCACATGGTACTCATTTCACCTCCTTCCTCTCTCTGATGCACCAGCCTTGGCTGTTCCCTGGCCCAGAAGCAGGGTCAGGGAGTAGAGGGTGGTGAGCCCTCGGGAGCCAGACCTGTGCCTTGACCAGGGGTACAATGTGGGATAAGGAACTTAACCTTTCTGTGCCTCTGGTTCTCCATCTGTCGGTGAGGACACAGCATCTGTCTGCCTTTTGGGATTTGGGGGAGGACACAGGAGCTAATAGGTGTGAAGCAGTTGATGAGTGGTCTGGCATGTGGTAAGTTTCAGTAATACTAATAGTTAACTTTTCCTGTTAAGACAATACCAGCTGTGTATTTTCTTTCCCATTTTTTCCCCATATTTTTGGAGAGTTGATTCTGCAACTTGCTTTCTCTTCATATTTTCAGGGACCTCTGCCTTGGGTATAAAATCATAGATGGGTGTGTTGCTAAGAAAAAGCTCTTGGCAACCAGTATTAATACCACACTCCATGTGACGTGTCTTCCTGTCATTTTTTATTGTCCTTTGACCAGGTGGGCTGGATGACACTTTGCACACAATTATTGATTATGCCTGTGAGCAGAACATTCCCTTTGTGTTTGCTCTCAACCGCAAAGCTCTGGGGCGCAGTTTGAATAAGGCAGTTCCTGTCAGCGTGGTAGGGATCTTCAGCTACGATGGGGCCCAGGTGAGCGCACAGGGCACAGGCCTCTTCAGTCACTGCCCGTGGGAGGAAGTGGGGGCAGGTGGTCAGTGTGGGCTTGCCCACAGAGCAGCTCCAGAACCTCCAGTAAGCTGTCATTGAGGAGAAGCCACCACTTAGGCAGAACCTTCTTGTAAAAAGGTAGCCTTTGTCTCCTTGACAGCATGGGGTGTCTGGTTCTGAATTGAGCTCTGTTCTGGGCTTGTGCTGACATAGTGGCACCTCAGCCAGGCCCAAGAAATCGGCCTAGCCCACTCTTCCCTCTGGGGCAGCATCCCTGGTAGCCATCCATAAGCATAAGGTCCACATGACCCCGTGTCAGCCCTGCTTCTCTGTGGAGGGTGCCATTGCTGAGTTGGAGGGACCCGTGTCCTCTGTCGCTGGGCTGTTACCTGTGTGCTCTCACTTGTGCCCAAGGATCAGTTCCACAAGATGGTTGAGCTGACAATGGCGGCCCGACAGGCGTACAAGACCATGCTGGAGAATGTGCAGCAGGAGCTGGCGGGAGAACCCAGGCCTCAGGCACCTCCCAGCCCGCCCACACAGGGCCCCAGCTGCCCTGCAGAAGATGGCCCCCCAGCCCTGACAGAAAAAGAAGAGCCACACTACAGTGAGTGCTTAAGGGAGAGTCGTGTCAGGTCGAGTGTCCTCTAAGTTATTTATCGACTTTAATTAGAGTCCCCAGGAGAGCAGCTTGATAATGCTGCAAGACCAGCTGAGTAGCAGGGCCCAGTAAGTCCAGCTGAGACTGGCCGTAATAAGGCCAGTCCATTGCCTAAGAGGTATTATCAGACTTTTGCTTGTCAGTGACTGTCTCAGACTTCAAGTCAGATGTCTCTTGACAATGGGTGGCCTTAAGGATAGCTATACCCAAGACAGGCTTGGAAGGCCAAGTAAAGGTTCAGTCCTCTCCTAGCCCACCCACACAAGGCCCCAGCTGCCCTGTAGAAGATGGCCCCCTAGCTTCTGTTCACTAAGGGGCAGCCTGGCCCAGCAGGCTGAGAACAGTGAGTGAACGCCTGCCAGGACACCTCTGAGCACCATGAGCTGCTGGGCAGTGGCCACAGGCTCCCTTGTCCATGCTGCTGGTTTTCTGACAGGAGTCTTCCTACTGGTTGATGCCTCTTCCTCACTCGTGCTGTTTTCTCATTTTAGTTGAAATCTGGAAAAAACATCTGGAAGCATACAGTCCATGTGCCCTGGAGCTAGAGGAATCCTTGGAGGCTTCAACCTCTCAAATGATGAATTTGAATTTATGAGAGTTCTTGCCTGTGTATCTGTATTTTGGGTAAGGAGGGGAGGTCTGAAAAAGACTTTGGGGCTTTTTCTTCTTCTCAGTTTTTCATGACAATGTAATTTGTGTAACTGTTGAATCTGGAAATTGATCAGCATTAAAGGGCACATGAAGCAGTGTCTGCAGGCATTCAGTGCTGCGGAGCCTGTTAAAGGTCACTCAGATGTGATGTGCAGGTGTTAATCTCTTCTAAAAGCCTGGTGACACAGCTCTGGCTTTCCGAGCACACTGTGGATCTGGAAAGTACTGGAAAATGTGATACTTAGAATACTTCGGCTGCTAAGGAAACTTCCTCTCCATTGCAGAATAGCTGAGCCAAGTGAGTGAGTTTGCAGATAGCAGGTGGTGAGCTCCTGCTTGCTGGAGGTGGCCATGGAGGGCCATTCCCGCCTGGCAACAGCACCGTCCTGCAGGGAGCCACTTGGCAGAAGGATGCAGGGCTGCTGGTGTCAGAGCAAGAGGGCTACCGGGCAAGGGCCCTTTCTCAGGGGATGTAGCTTTTTTAAAAGATTTGGTAACACTTGGAGGATTTGCTAAAATGAGCCTCAGAAGGGAAATCGGTTTTCTAACCTGTGACTTTTTGAAATGAATTATTCCTTTCAGTCTTTATTTTTCAAAGAAACAATGTGTATTGAAGTACCTAGATTTGTTTGATAATCAACAAATCTTTCCTTTTTAAATGAACATATTCTGAATGTGGTTTCTGTCTTAGGCCAGGAGGACAGAGTTTACTTTCATATTTTCCCTGTAAGTAAGAGGGCTTATTTATTTTAAATAAAGAGTAATTATTAAATTTTGTTTCAGACTCTGGTGATTTTAGGCTTATCAGTGGTCTCTGTCTTACTTGATCATTCGTATGTCTTAATTTATCCCCTTTGGACAGTCTAGGCCCTGAAATAAAAGGGGGCTGTGTAATGGGGATTCTGCTATCCCCAGCACTCCTAGGTCTGGAAGTAATGATTGTCAAAAGCCTCCAACACTGCACAGACCTGCCGGGGCCAGATCCTGGCTCAGTCCCAACCTGCGCTTGCGTTCTTCTCACCACAGCCAATGGCAGGAAAGAATCTTCACTGCTTTTTGCTTGTCAGGTAAGCAGGGTATTGTTTTGGCTTTGAAAGTGCTCTTAATTGAATTCAGTCATGCCAATATTGTACCTCTGAGAAGTGGCCAGTGATGAGCAAATAAAATTGGAATGAGTCAGAAATGACATGCTACGGGCAGGGCTGGAAATGTGACCAGAGGTTGGTGTATGAAGGCACCGTCCGCCCTGTCATCTGTGGAGCTCACAGTGACCAGTGTGAGCCTTGCTGTTCTTCACACGTTCTGAGCTGTTTAGACATGGGAAGTAGATGTGGTCAGTCAGGCCATCAGTAGTCCGAAAGCAGCGAGTCATCTCCACCCATTTATCTTTCAGGGCAGTCAGCGGGGCCGGCAGGAAAGGAGAGGGCTTTCCTGCTTCCTCCTCCCCTCATCAGTAGGTAGCAAGTCAGTTGTGGTAAGTTTGAAAATAGGAGATTATTTGAGAATGAAAGTTCCAAAATTAATTTGTGGGGAAAAAGACAAAATAGCTATCAGCTGCACTCAACAGCTAGAATTTTAAAATTTGATAAATCAAAAAGTTAAAGATCTCTACAGAGATGAATTCCTCTGCTCAGAGCCCCTTTTTAGAGCTCTCTAGGTCTGTGATGTTTGTTTTGCTAATCTTAAGATAAAAGCAGCTTAAACAGAGTAGGTAGGCTTTTCAACATTTCATGCAGCTGCTGAGAGCTTTCCTTCTGGGACTGACCAAACTCTCACCACGTGGTTGCCCGGTGATGCTGTCATTTTCTTGGCAGTGAAGGACTCCAGCTGAAGCCACTGCTGCAGGTGACTTCAGCTCCCTCAACGTGCAGATGGTGCCGCATGAAGCACACAGCTCTGGGCCAGGGGCGCCAAGTACAGTCATTTAACTGAACAATGTACAACTCTATTTTTACTTTTCCAGCAGAGCAAAGACTCAAAAATTCATCCTCATAACTACATTTCCCAATAGAACACTCCACATTATGAAAACTTTAAGTATGTAATTATTTTGTTAAGAGTGAAAGTGCTCGAAATCCAGACTTTAGGAGAAGATACAGAGAACAGCACCAAGAATGTAAGTCCAAAGCCCATAGCATTTCACTCAGCAGTTTGTAGTGGTTGAAGCCACACCCAAAGCAAGAACCACAGTGAGCTGATGGATATTTTACAGGAAAACTTCAGGTTATGAGTGTGATAGTTCTGGGAGCAAGACTGGCATCCTTGGCTGGATGGGCAAGCACACGCCTCACAGGCGGCTAGGCCTCTTGACTCGCGGTGCGGAGGGGGGACGTGTGGAGACAACCAGGGTGTCTCCGGCGTCTTCAGGACACCTCTGTCGTGATGGATCCTGAAGGAATTAGCAGGCAATGTATGCTGATCCCACACAAAGGCTGTTACAGAACTCGTCCAGCCCCAGAAAGAGGGGATGCAAAACAGGTCATTGTCATACTGCTGGGAAGACACTCAGCATTTGCTAGGATCACCAGAGGGGTGCGGCTTGCTTTTAACAGAGACTTTGGTTTTATGATAGACATGAAAACTGTCATTCCACAGACAAGAAGAGACGTGTGTATAAGATTAAAGGCTGAGCAGGTTTAGGACAAGTTCACACACACAGTGACAGTCTTCAGAGATATAGCTTTAATAATTAGAGACTTGAAAGCAGGTAGAACAAAACACTCATGACACTCATTCCATTGACAAGAAATTTAATATGGCACCAGGAGATTTGCATAATTGACCTGTTTGGCTTTCTGCGACAAGCTCGGTGTCCTGTTGCAGAAGCTGAGCATTGACAGGGGACAGAGGCATAAACTGCAGCGCTTGATAAAACAGAGCCCAGTATTCTGAGGTTAGTGAAGAAAACACAAAAGACTTGACAGATGCACTCCCAGATCGCATCTCACAGTCATTCAGGGTTTAAGGCAAGGCATTTTCATGTGGAGTCTCACCTTTTCTTGTCCCAGTCATGCATCTTAGAGTTCCTTGGCTAAGTCTGCAGGTAGGAGAAGCGGTAGGCTTGATTTGCATCAATAAAAGCAGCGATCTGTGCTGGCCATGCTAACCCTGTTGGCTGTTAGGGGGTAGGGGCACTCTGTAAAGGGGAGTCACTGGGACAGTGTAGGATCAGCCTTCAGAGCCTGCTGCCTGACCCTAGAGGAGGAGCCTGCACACATACTGCTGTTTTAGTTCACGAGCAGCTGTCGAAGCCTGTTAGCCATCCTGGTTACCTGCTTGTGCCAGACAGAACTTCCTGTCCCAGGTAAGCACCTAATTTTTTAAGTCTTAGTTCCTGTCACAGGCCCACTTGGGTTCAGGGCTTCTCCACTGCCCCGTCTCTGGGAGGTACGCATCAGGTGGTAGCCAGTGGCTGTGTTCAGAGCGGGTTTGGGCAAGACAGCTCACAGTTGCGGGGGACCAGGCCTTCTCCGGGGGTGGCTGTGGTCAGTGGCAGCAGGGTCTGGTTGGGGTTGAGGTCGGTGTCAGGGACTCCTTCCTGGTGGCTACAAGGTGTCCTTGCTACAGCTTTCCTGAAAGAACAATGTGGTCTTTGAATCCTTGGCGGAACGGATGGGCCTTTCCTGCTCTGCAGCCCAGTCTGTCTCATAGCCCATCCCAGACAGAGCACTCAAGGCCTCAGCCCCCTGTTGTGGTTCCCCTCCTTGGGGTCTAAAGATCCAAATGCCACGAGTGGTTCTCCCATACGTGACGGGAAGACAGAGCAGCAGCGCATTCACTCGACTCCCAGGTTGTGCTGAGAGGGAGGAGGGCTGGAGAGAGGGAGGCTGTGTGTGCTGAAGTACAGAGGATCAGCTATAAATGCCCAGGCTTTGGTGACAACAGTTCGGGGGTCTGCTGGCAGCCACGTAACCCACACACTTTAACGCACTCATTTGAGTGCTGCAGACCCCACCCTGGTTGGTAGCACACACAGTGATGAATCCCTGCCTTTGCCTTCTGTATCAGCTATTTGGGAGCCAGGGCTGGACAACTCTGCCTCCGTGGGGAGACAGGGAGCCTCTAGGGAGCCTCTGCCTGCAACTTCCGTGCCATAGCCCAGTCCCTGCCAGGGTTTAGTTCAGTAAGCCACTCCCCCTGACCCCTCCAGCAGGTGCTGCAGGTGAGGCATCCAGCCAGGAGCTACCTGGAGGGTTCCCCACCTCAAAGTAGTGACTGGCTGAGTGCTCTGTACAGGGGGTGGGGTGGCCGTGGGGGCCCATCTAACAGACAGCTCCCACTGGTGAGCCCCTCCCAATCTTGCCTCCCTTCTTCAGTCTCCTTTAAGGGCTGGGTCCAGATGCCCCTTGATCTGCAGCCTCAGCAACAAGCCATGGGATTCCCCTCGCAGGGTTGCAGGTAAAGGAAACTGCTCTGGGGCTAAGAGGGAGCAAGTGGGGTCCATGCTGAATGGGTCCCTTGAAAGATCCACCGGATGTGGCAGGTGCCCTGTCCCTGGCTCCAGCCCTACTTTCTTTGCCCGGCTGCGGCCACGTACCCACGCCTTCCTCCAGCTCTGCATCATCCGGTCGTGCTCCCCAGCCACAGCCCTCCAGGCGGAAAGCTCTCTGCTCCACTTCTCCTGGTGGGCTACTTCTGGAAGACAAGCAGGGTTCCCAGGCCATAGCTCTGCGGGCCTTTATGGCACCCTTGATGCCCACTGGCCACCTTTCTCAGTGGAAAGCCAATAAATCCCAAACCCAAAATGCCACCGTGCAAGCATGCTTTCCAGCATGTTTTTTTCGACTGCCATTGTAAACAGTGAAAAATCACCTCCTAAAAGGGTTCCAGTGGGCATGGGAATCACTTACCAGGTCTCATCACAGCAACCTGCACCTTCGAAGTCTTGTTCCCTGCTGAGGAGATGACAGAGCAGCGATACTCGGTGCTTTCCCTGATAGCGTCCTGCAGCCAGCTGAGCGCGTGGGCGCTGCCATCGGGCAGTGCATGGGTCTGCACAGGGACACAGGTCTCCAGAGCTCGCCCATTCTTCTCCCAGACAATGCGAATGTCTGCAGGACCTGGGGGCACAGACTGTTTCTACCTCTGAGTCCACATTTAGAACACAAAGAAGCTACCCCACGAGGGGGTAGGGGGGTTACTTCTGTTGTCCCAGCTGGACCTGAAGTGACTTGGGACAACTTCCAATTCAGTCCCTGGACTCCCTGGAGGTGGCTTCCCCATGGCCAGCGGGAGCCTTGGCCTTGGCCCCTGTCCTGTGGACTTTCTGCTCTTTGACCTTAATTACCATTTTTCAAAATACACCTGTGTGGCCTGTGTCCCCTAGGACCCCCTTCCTCACAGCGCTGTGCTGGTTTCCTGCAGAATGCTTCTGGGCTTTGGAACAGCATCCCACCTCACCCTGGCCTTGCTGCCACACACATGTCCTGTGACCACATGGACAGAGACATCCCAAAGGCTCTGCCATCACCAGGGCCACAGCACAGAGAGGCCCAGAGCTTGGCCAGCTGTGTGTGGAGGGGGCTGGGCCAGAGTGGGGACCACGAGGGCCTGTCTTTCCAATTGAAACACTGGAACCTGTGGCAGGCTTGGAGGGGAGCACATGTCACAGGCTGGAGGGCTCAGACCCTGGCGGGGGCGGGGCCAGGCCCTGCAGAATTACACTAGGACCGCCAAGTGCAGCACATCCAGGGTGGGCTTCCAGCCTTGAGCATGGACCCTGGGCCTGACACTGGCCACTTCTACCCCAAACCTCTGTTACTTTTCTTTGGGCTTTTGAGCTTAATTACTTATTGAAAAAAGTAGAGAGGCCAATTACTTCACACATTCTCAGTCTATTGCGCCCTGCCAGAGTGGAGCCTGGCCAGCCTCAGCTTGTCTGTGGGAGACAAGGAGGGTGGGTGAGGCAGGGACGTTCCCCTGTGGCCCAGGCTGCCTTGCCTGGGGAGGCCAGCCTCGTCCCAGGGCAAGAAGGCTACGTGGCCGACCCTGAGGGCTAACCCTAGACTCCGTATTTGTTCCAGGTGGTTGGGGTGGGGTTGTGAAAACCAGAGTGTTGGGGGTGGGGCGGGGGGGTGCCCACAAGCAAGGTCTGGTCATCAGGTCACCTCCCGGCTTTCCTTGCTTGTGAAGTCTGTTGGCCCTCCAGGGGCTGCTGGCCATGTTGGGACAGGCTCAACTCCCTGTCCCTTACTGAAGGAAAAACAAGCACACTCACTTTGATCTGCTTCACACACTGGCTTCCATTCAAATGCAGAAAGGGTTGGGGGGGGCCGTGCTCCCACTAAGCTCCAGCCCCAGAGGTGCAGACCCTGGAGCTGAGCTGGGATGGTGGGGAGGGCCAGGCCAGGCCCTGGAGGGCAGGTGAGGGGGTGCAGGTGCTCTTCTGTCTCCGAAGCTCCTGCTTACAGTGGGGCAGGGGAGGCCGGCCAGCCTACGCTGCTGCTTCCGTCTCCCACAGGTGCAGCCTGCATCAGGCCAGGCACCCCAGCAGCATGGACCGGGGTGACACCCTCCCACCTCTTGCCTAGCGACCTGGCTCCCTGATCAGCACCTGCCCTTCCTCAAGGGCCACCAAGGCCCCCAAGTGGGCCACGGGCCACCTAGACCAGCGCTGGGCATGGCCTCTGCTTGACCATGACACCTCATAAGAATCGGTCTTTAGAAGTTAGATTTGGCCTAGATGCCCATCAACCTTGGAATGACAAAATGAAGTGTGGCTTCGTGGAGAATGTTCAGCAGTGAAAAGGAAGGAGTTCAGAACACTGAGCAGGAAAAACAAATTCCAGAGCCAAGAGAGTCCAAAGTACCTGCACACACAGAAAAGCTGGCCTTGTTCTCAGGTGTGGGGGAGGGGTGCGTCCAGACACAGGTATTAAATGGTGTGGGAGGACCCACGCTTCCCTCCCTGGGCAGGACAGTGATGGCCAGAGAGCCTTTCATTTCTGTGGCACATGCTGGATTTTTGAAAAGAAGAGATAGCCAGTTTAATGAAGGTGACTTTAGTAATGCATTTTCCCTGCTTTACTGACTGGCATCTGCTCACCTTTGTCCAGTCTCTTGGTCAACAATTCCCCACTGTCCAGGATCATCAGAGAATGCTCCTCCCAAGGACTTGACCAAGCTCAGACTCTTTAGCTAGACAATCCTAGGAATGAGTCCCAAGGCAATGATGGGCCCAGTGAAGCCCTGTTTCTATCAGTGAGGAGTTGGGAAATGTCCAAGAAGGGGGCCGCAAGTCACTCATTCCAAGTGCCATCGAAGAATATTCAGCAACACAGAAAAATACTGTTACGTGAAAGAATAGATATGTGTATATATGTACACACCCGTGTATACATGTGTGAACGCAGATACAGTCTTGACCTAAAAATGGCTGGGATGCTGGTGGTAACTGCCTCTGGATAGTTAAATTTGGGATTGTTTAAATTTTTTCTTTATACTTCCCTGGAGTTTCCAACCTTACAACAAACAAGCATTGCTTTTATAATAATAATTTTTTATAAAAGTGTTATTTTGAAGGAAACATTCCATAAACTCAAGGAAATTTGGAAGGTGCTCCACAACTGTTTTGCCTGGCGGCCCATCTGGCCCTGGCCTGGTAGACAAGCCCTTGTGAACAGGTTTGGTTTTTGTGCATAATTAAGACAAAAAAAAAAAAAATCTTAAATTTGTTTTTTCCCCACTCAAAATGTTTTGGACTCTAACCACAGATAACCCCATATATCTATCTACAAATATAAGTACATACTACATATCTCTATATACATCTAGGTGCCCATCAACTAGATAGATATTCCCTTCCCCACCTGATGGGCATCCAGGCAAAATCTCATTTTAAGAAACAGATTTTTTTGAGCTGTTAAGATCAAGTGGCCGGGCGCGGTGGCTCAAGCCTGTAATCCCAGCACTTTGGGAGGCCGAGACGGGCGGATCACATGGTCAGGAGATCGAGACCATCCTGGCTAACACGGCGAAACCCCGTCTCTACTAAAAACAAAAAAAAAAATTAGCCGGGCGAGGTGGCGGCGCCTGTGGTCCCAGCTACTCGGGAGGCTGAGGCAGGAGAATGGCGGGAACCCGGGAGGCGGAGCTTGCAGTGAGCTGAGATCTGGCCACTGCACTCCAGCCTGGGCGACAGAGCGAGACTCCGTCTCAAAAAAAAAAAAAAAAAAAAAAAAGATCAAGTAACAACACTTTTCTTTGAACAGAGAGTGAAGTGAGTTCCATAAAAGCCCAGTCTCCTCCCTCATGTGACCTGCACCAGGAACCACCCAGGGGACTGGAGTCACTGAGTCACAGGAGCCTCTGGAAGGTTCTCCTGACCAAGCCCTTGAGACTAAGCATCTGGGTGGCCTGAGCTGAATTGGATTCATCACCCAACACCCCATCATGGGACCACTGACAGCAAAACCCTCAAAGCTCCGCCCTCTGGGGTGTGAGTAGAAACAGACACCTGTGCTTACCACCGCTAACATGAGGCGTCAGTAAATGCTATTTCAGTATGTGCTTGATCATCATAAGACATTAAAGATGTTAAAGACGTACTTACGTTCAGTGTATTCCTTTTTAAACTATCCAACTCTTTCTGAATGCATGAGAGAGAGGGAAAGTGAGAGTTACCATCAGTGTGCAGGGCCACCCCATCAGCACCGCACCCTCAGCAGGACGGGGCAGCAGCTGCAAACCCAAGTCTGTCCCATGGAGGCCTGCTGGGGAGCTCCTGGAATCCTGGGCCCCCAATGGGGAGCTGTCTTCCATCTCCCAGCAGGGCCCCCTGAAAACACCACTGGTTTCTTGTTTGGGCCAGTGCTCCAAGCCCCCTAACCATCCAACCCTGTTACCTCAAGAGAGCAGCCAGGCTGGCCTCTGTGGGGTGGGGACAAGAGGCTAGTCTGATGCTGTGAGGCTGCCACCAACCTGGATGTGCCTTGGGCTCTTCCCAGTGGCTAGCCAGGTGACGCTGGTCGCACTCTCGAAGGGAAGTTGTCGTGGCTTAGAAGGATCTAGGGTAGAGGTCCTGAGGACGGATGCTTCCCCCCGGCCCTGCCTGTCACTGCAACCCAGTACTTTTAGAGAATTAGCTTAAGTTGGAGGCAAATAAACTTTAACTGCTGTGGCAGATGCCGTAGGTAACAATCTTCCTCCTGCAGCTGGGACTGTCTTGAGATGACTGATCACCTTGGTATAAGCAAGGGCCAGGTGTATCCACCAGGGCTGGGTTTATTACAGCTACTCAGGAGTCGGGGGAGGCTGCCGGCGACCTGGGTTCCAGCACTCACCTCAGCCTGTCGCTGGGGCACCTCCCACCTGCTCACCCCCACCCCAAGCCTCTAACAGGGCCAGCTGGTGGCAGGACCACCATGGCTTCAGAGCTTTGTGGATGTGATCACAAAATGTGGAGCTCATTCTACTCTGTGACAAACCAGGTGCCCCCTGAGCAGTGGCCTTGCCCTGAGGAAGGCCTGGAGGGGTGGTGAGGCATCCACCCAGTGACTGAGTTGCTCAGGCCCATCCTGACAAGTGCCCCCACTGCCATCCCCTGCAGCACTCCTCTGTGTCCTCCCGCCATCCCCATGCTTGTGGCCCACTCTGACCTCAGGACTGGCTGCCTCAGGGCCAGCCCATCTCCCAAACTCACATCCAGGTGGCCTTCCTGCAGCTAATGGGGCAGCCGGGCACATCCCCAGAGGGGCCATTCTCTCCACACGGTGCTGGCCGCTGGCCATCATGTCTTTCATGATGGGACTCCTGGCTTGTCCCTGCCCGTTCCTGCTGCCCGGGCCTCACCCTGACTGCCGCTCCCAGCCTCTTTTCCTGAGGATCCCACTGCTTCCCTGGCCCATCTCTGTGCTCTCTCCTTGAGGCAGGGTCTTTTCTAATCCTGGCCCTGGCCCCTCCTTCCTCCCAGACTCTGGGGACCCTTCTGGGGACAAAGACAGTGCAGCTGGGGTATACCCCGAGGCCCTGTTGGTCATCCTTTCTGTCCTCTGTCGAAGTCAGAGAGTAGCCAGGGGTCCCAAGAGGAGGGAGGAGAGAGTGAGACCCCTGCCACACAGGTAGCAATTCTGACAGCTCCCTTCTCTGAGTCCTCATCTCCCTGACAGTCACCAGGCTCACGCAGCCTAACGTTTCACTCAGGTATGCTCTGATCACTCAGGGCACTGGACCAGCCCCAGTGCTTCTGGAAAGCACCAGTTTATGCCTGCCACTTACTGGCCAAGTCACCTTATCAATGTGGGCAGGAATTCTGAACTTCTCTGCAAAAGCATCTGAGCAAGTACCACTGAGGCACCTGCAGGCATTGCCTGGCTCCATGGGGGCCTGTGGGAAGGCACTACTGAGGCACTGAGGGCATTTCCAGACCCCAGGTAACCAGACAGCTGTGCTGTAAAGGCATGTGGAATTATCACAGATAACAGAAGACGTGGACAGCTTCTGGTGAAGCTGCCTCATCTAACATGCTAAGGACCTCAGATCACAGGGAGTTGATAGCACTGCCTTGTCCTGTCCAGCAAGGGTGGCCCAACACACAAGGTCAACTAATTCCCAAGACGGCCATGGCCTTTCAGGAGAGTCTGAAACAAAGTGAAATGTCACAGAGCAGCTGGAACACACACTTGTGTGCCAACAGGCCACTGTGGCCGCTAGGAACGGGGGGCCCTCTCCGGATACCTGGGCCTCTCAGAGAGGCCCAAGGGCACCTGCTGCTGCTGCCCTCTGATCCCAGTGCTTCCAAGGGCTCTGATTTCTAACACTGTAGTTAAAACATAAAAGGCCATCCCAAATCCAAATATCCAAATGCTGCCCAAAGTATGGGGGAACCATTATTAGCTTTGAAAATGACACGGGTCTAAACTTGACATGGAAGATAGTCCTGGCAGCAGTGAAGGCAGGGCCCTGACAGGGTAAAGACTACACTTTGGTTAAAAAATTATATCGATCTATTTCTGTGTGTGCACACTAATGTACAAGTGCATGATTTGTATCTGCATGTATTCACAACCCATCCACCATTCATCTCTATCGATCCTTGTTTGTATGCCAGATGCGCTATGTGCTGGCACACGGGTGGTGGGGTTATTTTTTCACCCATCTGTATTCCCAGTGATCCATGAGGAACTTGGGTTCATCAGTTCAGAGGCGCAGAGCTTGGCCACATGCTAACTTTATTCCCCCAGCTCCGGAACGCTTTCCTCTGCTTGTCAATACACATGCTCCTCCACTTTCCACGGGGTTGCATCCCAGTAAACCCACTGTGAGTTGAAATGATCCTAAGTCAACTGTGTGTGTGTGTGTGTGTGTGTGTGTGTATGGTTGTGTATGTGTGGACATGATGGTGTGTGTGGTGTGGTGTGGGTAACATGCATGTGTCCGGTGTGTATGTGCTTTGGTGTGTGCAGTATGTGTGGTGGTGTGTGCATGTCAACAGTGGTAGGATTGGTGTTTGTGTGATGTGTGTGATATGCTGTGCTGTGTGTGGTGCATGTGTGAGTGGCTGTGTTTGGTATGGTGTGTATGGGGGTGGCTGTGTTTTAGGTGTAGTGTAGTGTGTGTGTGGTGTGTGTTGGTAGGTGTGCACATGTGCAATGAGTGTGCATGGTCTGTGTGTATGGTGTTTGATGTGTGTGTGGTATGATTTGGTGTATGTGATGTTTTGTGCTGTGCATTTATTGTGTGCATGCACATGGTACGTGTTTGTTGTGTGGTGGACATGATTGTGTTTGTGGTGTGGCGTGCGTGTCTGTTATGTGGTGTGTGTGTTATGGTACATGTATCATGTGTGGTGCATATTGTGATGTATCTGTATGTATGTGGTGTATCTGTGTATGTGTGGTGTGTGGTGTGTGTGGCGTGTATGGTTGGTGTGTGGTGTGTGTGGTATGTAGGTGTGTGGTGTGTGGTTGTGTGTGGTGTGTATGGAGGGGGTACAGTATAGTGTGTGTGATGCTGGTGTGTAGTGTGTGGTTGTGTATGGTGTGTATGGAGGGGGTACGGTGTAGTGTGTGTGATGCTGGTGTATGGTGCGTGGTTGTGTATGTGTGGTGTGTATGGAGGGAGTATGGTGTGTGTGTGATGCTGGTGTGTGGTGTGTGGTTTGTGTGTGTGTGGTGTGTATGGGGGGGTATGGTGTAGTATGTGTGATGCTGGTGTGTGGTGTGTGTGTGATATATGTGGCATGTGGTGTGAGGGGGTGTGGTGCTGGTGTGTGGTATGCAGGGTGTGATATGTCTGCTGTGTGGTCTGTGTAGTGTGTGTGGTATGTGTGTCTGGGATGTGTGTGCTGGGAGTACGGTGTGTGGCATGTGTGCAGTATGTGTCATGCTCATGTGTGGTGTGTGTGTCTGGTGTGTGGTATGTGGCTGGCATAGTCTGTGGCTAGTGTGTGTGTGGGGTGTGGTGTGTCCTGTGGGGTGGGTTGTGGGGGGGTGTGATGTGGTGTGGGGTGGGGTGTGTATGAGGGGTGGTATCGGGTGGGGTGTGGCATGTGTGGGGCTGTGGTGTGGTGTCTGGGGTGTGGTGTGTCAGATGTTTGTGTGGGGTGTGCATGTGGGGTGTGTGGTGTGTCTGGGTGTGGTGTGTATCGGGTGGTGTGTGGTGTGTGGGGTATGGTGTGTATCTGGGGTAGGGTGTGTATCTGGGGTGGGGTGTGGTGTGTGTTGGGGGTATGTGTATGTCTGGGGTGGGGGTGTGTGGGGTGTGTCTGGGGTGTGTGGGGTGTGTCTGGGGTGAGTGTGGGGGTGTGGTGTGTGTCGGGGGTTTGGCGTGTGTCAGGGGTGTCTGTGTGGTGTGTGTGGGGTGTGGTGTGTGTCTAGGGTGTGGTGTGTGGGGTGTGGTGTGTGTGGGGTGTGGTGTGTGTCTAGGGTGTGGTGTGTGGGGTGGGTCTGTGTGTGTGGGGTGTGGTGTGTGTCTGGGGTGTGGTGTGTGGGGTGGGTGTGTGTGTGTGGGGTGTGGTGTGTGGGGTGGGTGTGTGTGTGTGGGTGTGGTGTGGTGTCTGGGGTGTGGTGTGTGGGGTGTGTGTGTGGGGTGTGGTGTGTGGGGTGTGGTGTGTGTCTGGGGTGCGGTGTGTGGGGTGTGGTGTGTGTGGGGTGGGTGTGTGTGTCTGGGGTGTGGTGTGTGGGGTGGGTGTGTGTGTCTGGGGTGTGGTGTGTGGGGTGTGGTGTGTGTGGGGTGTGGTGTGTGTCTAGGGTGTGGTGTGGGGTGGGTGTGTGTGTGTGGGGTGTGGTGTGTGGGGTGGGTGTGTGTGTCTGGGGTGTGGTGTGTGGGGTGTGTCTGGGGTGGTGTGGTGGGGGGTGTGGTGTGTGTCTAGGGTGTGTGGGTGGGTGTGGTGTGTGGGGGGTGTGGTGTGTGGGGTGGGTGTGTGTGTCTGGGGTGTGGTGTGTGGGGTGGGTGTGTGTGTGTGGGTGTGGGGTGTGTCTGGTGTGGTGTGTGGGGTGGGTGTGTGTGTGTGGGTGGTGGTGTTGGGGTGTGTGTGTCTGGGGTGCGGTGTGTGGGGTGTGGTGTGTGTGGGGTGGGTGTGTGTGTCTGGGGTGTGGTGTGTGGGGGTGTGTGTGTCTGGGGTGTGGTGTGTGGGGTGTGGTGTGTGTGGTGGGTGTTGGTCTAGGGTGTGGTGTGGGGGGTGTGTGTGTGGTGGGTGTGGTGTGTGTGGGGTGTGGTGTGTGTCTAGGGTGTGGTGTGGGGTGGGTGTGTGTGGGGTGTGGTGTGTGTCTAGGGTGTGGTGTGGGGTGGGTGTGTGTGGGGTGTGGTGTGTGTCAGGGGTGTGGTGTGTGTCGGGGGGTGTGTCTGGGGTGTGGTGTGTGGGGTGGGTGTGTGTGTCTGGGGTGGTGTGTGTGTCTGGGGTGTGTGTTGGGGGTGTGATGTGTGTGTCCCTGCCCGTCCTTCACAGCTGGTAACCAGGGTGACTGACGACAGTAAACGTGCATTGCTAGTTGCATGACAAAGCTTAGACAGTGGTCCATCCCAGGGCCAGTACAGTGCAGGATGGCTGTGCAGCAGCTGTGAATGCTCTCAAGGCCGCTGTCCCTCCCGTGCGACCACGGTGCACACTGAGGCAGTCGGCTGCTCCCAGCTGCTCCAGGCCCTGCCGGTGCACTCAGTCCCCCAGGACTCAGGATCATAGGGCGAGCGGCTCCCAGGGCATGGGCCCCAAGGAAGTGCAGTCCTGACCTGCGACCCCTCTTGTCACTGAGCCCAGGGTACCACGCTTGGGGTGACACCCTGTGCTGTCTCTGCTGGGCACTGCAAAGGCATGACACCCCAGGCGTGTTATAACCTCCCTTCTCAGGACCGTCCCGTCCTGTCCCAGGGACAAGGCTGGCCTGTGCCAGGGCCATCAGTGGATCTTTCCGTATCATCTTCCACTGATAATTCCACTTCCCAGAGGCGAGAACTGTGTGGTGAAGGGACGAAATGTGTCCAGGTGGAGAGGGGCACTGGCCGCCAATCTCCCACCCCAGCTCCTGACACGGGCTCACAGGTGTGGCCCTGTCCCTCCCTTGGATGGGCAGCGAGGCCCCTGGGTGCAGGATAGGGTGGGCTTCCACCCCACCACCAGGCCTCAAGCTCTCCCATCCCAGGACATGCCTCTCCGCCCTACTCTGCCCACATGGCCACATCACCTCCACCGCACCCCACGTTGGGCCCTTGTGCCCTGGCAGCCTCTGCACACACCACGGGCTGTTTTCCTCTGTGCAGACCCACCCTGATCCCCCATGAGGAAGCGCTTTGGCCTCAGAGGGCCCTCACCTCTCCTGAATGGCCGAGTCCCTGGGGTCACTTTCTGAGCACTGGCCAAGAGTGTGTTGGGGCAGGTGGGGACATCTCCTGGGTGACACATGAGTCTCCACCAGCTCTGGGGCAGACTCAGTCCCCAAGTGCGACCCTGACCAACTGACCTTCCATCGGTCAGCCGTCTCTGGGGGGTGAGACGCTCCCCAACACACAGGTTCACCCAGCAGAGCTACAGGCACCAGGACGCAGCATGGTGAACTGAAGATGCCACCAATGTCCTCTAAGCTTCATATTCCAAAGACACTTTGCTGGCCCTTTAATCAGACAGCCCCCAAACCACTGTGACAGCTACCACGAAAACAGCCATTACAGGAAAGAAAAACCCAGCCAAGTTCCAAAGCAGCCCTGCCCTGGGTGGCTGGGAGAGGACACAGGAGGAAGCGGTAGGCCTGTGCCCTGAGTGTACTGTACTGCAACCTCCAGGCCCTGGGCCTCACCTGGAATGGCTCATTCCTGGCCCACAAGGCAGAAAACGGCACTCACTCTCCTCAGGAAAGGATCTCTGGACTTGCAAGCCACACTGTGACCTCTGCCGCAGGAAGCATCCACAGGCCCCAACAGAACCCCGCAGCCTACTCGGGAAATTCACAACCACAGCCCCTCTGAGTTCACGGCATGCCCAGGACGCCCTGGCTTTGGCCCACCCTTGAAAAGGCCGAAGCCACTCTCTCCTAAGCTGGTCCTCCCTGGGGAGGTCTCACAGCCCTCGCAGGCTGTGGCCTCAGTGGAACAAGGGAATGGGAATGTCCCAGATGGGGTCAAATGCCTCTGGAGAGAAAGTAAAGACCATGTGAAAAGGGGGTGGGGTCCATCCTGAGCACTGGGAAAGTACCGCGCTCCTCTCTCAGCTCC